GCTAATGAACTTGCGTATCCAAACAGCTTCCTTGGCAGCTTCTGAAGCGACCAAGTACTCGGCTTCAGTTTTAGAGTCTGCAGTGGTGCTCTGCTTAGCATTCTTCCAACTAAACGCTCCTCAATTCAGACAGAATATGTACCCCGACTGTGACTTGAAGTCGTTTTTGTCAGTCTGGAAGCTAGCGTCGGTGTAACTTTCAACAACCAGTTCTTTGTGGCCTCCATACACCAGGAATTTATCCTTGTTCCTTTTCAGGTACTTAAGGATGTTCTTGGCCGCAGTGCCTCTCCAGGGTTCGATTGGTATCGACTCGTTGCACTCAGGGCATACGATACATCCGGCCTTGTACATATCATGGGATACATGATCGATCCGATTAGGGAAGCATATGGGATATGAGTCATTCTTTATCGCTCAACAGGTGTCTGTGGACACTGTTTCTTGCTGAGAGTTACGCCATGGGACATGGGTAAATGCCCTCTTTTGGAATTCTCCATGTGGAATCAAGCCAGTACCTTATCAATGTAATTACTCTGGCTTAATCTAATCATCCTCTTAGATCTATCCCTGTAGATCTTCATGCCCAATATGTACTGTGCCTCTCCTAAGTCCTTCATTGAAAAGCACTTTCCCAACCAGCCCTTTACGGACTCCAACAATTTTGTGTTGTTTCCAATGAGAAGTATGTCATCGACATACAGGACTAGGAATGCAATATCACTCCCACTAACCTTCTTGTATACACAAGATTCATTTGGATTCTTGATAAAACCAAACTTGCTAATGGCTTCATCAAATCACAGATTCCAACTTCTGCTGGCTTGCTTTAGTCCATAAATGGACTTCTTCAGCTTGGAAACCTTTCCAGCGTTGCCTGGTTCGACAAAACCTTATGGCTGTGTCATATACACAGTTTCTTCCAAAATTCCATTAAGGAAGGCGGTTTTGACATCCATTTGCCATATTTCGTAATCGTAATATGCAGCAATCGCTAAGATGATCCGGACGGATTTTAGCATTGCAACTGGTGAAAAAGTTTCGTCATAGTCAATCCCGTGGACTTGTCTATAACCTTTTGCCACCAGTCTAGCTTTGTATATTGATACATTTCCATCCTTGTCTGTCTTCACTTTGAAGATCCATTTGCAACCAATGGGTGTATAACCCTCGGGCAAATTCACCAAGTCCCAAACTTGATTTTCAGACATGGAGTCCATCTCGGATTTCATGGCCTCTTGCCATTTTGCAGAGTTGGGGCTCGTCATAGCTTTCTTGTATGTCGCCGGCTCATCACCATCCATGACTAGGATGTCCTGATCATCGGTTAAGACGATAGCGAGGTATCTGTCTAGTTGAGATCTTTGCCGTTGCGACCTACAAAGGGTAATCGGTTGAGCATTTACATTGTCTGTTTGATTCTGACCAATCTTCTTAGATGCTTCCAAAGTATCTAGATTGACAGTTTTGTCAGGTTGACATTGTTGCTCGTCCTCTCGAACTTCGTCGAGTTTGATTTTCCTCCCACTTGTCATTTTGGAAAGGTGATCCTTCTCCAAAAAGACACCATCACGAGCAACAGATACTTTGTTCTCGGATTTATTGTAGAAGTAATACCCTTTGGTTTCTTTTTGATATCCCACAAAGAAACACTTATCCGATTTGGGGTGAAGTTTGTCCGAAATTAGTCGCTTGACATATGCTTCGCACCCCCAAATCTTGAGAAAAGACAACCTAGGAGGTTTCTTAGTCCATAATTCATATGGAGTCTTTTCAACAGCTTTTGATGGAGCTCTATTCAGTGTAAGTGCTGCAGTTTGTAGCGCATGTCCCCAGAAAGAGATAGGGTGTTCACTAAGACCCATCATTGATCGAACCATGTCTAACAAGGTCCGGTTCCTCCGTTCGGACACTCCGTTCCATTGAGGAGATCCGGGAGGTGTCAACTCTAAAAGAATGCCATTTTCTTTCAAGTGATCGTCGAATTCATGGCTTAAATATTTGCCACCTCGATCCGATCGAAGTGCTTTAATTTTCGTGCCAAGTTGACTTTCAACTTCTTTCTGAAATTCTTTGAATTTCTCAAAGGATTCAGATTTATTCGACATTAAGTAGACATAGCCATATCTACTATAATCGTCGGTGAAAGTAATGAAATATCGGTAACCTCGTCTTGCGGGTGTGCTCATTGGTCCACATACATCCGTGTGTATTAGACCTAATAAGGCACTTGCCCTTTCTCCTAACTTGGAGAATGGCTGTTTTATCATCTTGCCTAATAAGCATCCTTCGCAATTTTCAAACTGAAATAAATTAATAAATAAATACAATCACAATGCAACAAGTGTCAAGGGGAGAGAGAGAGTTAGGTGAGGACCATGTACCTTGGGGGGGACCATTGCCTTGCTCCCCAAGGAATGGATTTAAGCCTTGATCCCCACTTTCCTCATAAAACCGCCTCAAGCATGCTGCTGGGCTGGCAGCCAGCTGACACTGCCAGCATGCCCAGCCAGCCAGCACCAGCCCACCAGCAACCTTCGCATCCCAGCCAGGCAGTGCTGCTTGGTGTTGGGCGATGCTTGGTGATGGTGCGTGCCAGTGCTGGGCGTTGGTGCGTGCTGGCGCTGGTGCTGTCCCTAGAATCCCACGCACCACACGCATCCACGCTTCACCCTTCGCACATGCTCGCACACCCAGCATGCGTGCTGCTAGCGAGCCACGCATGCTGGCCCCCTTTGCCTCGCACCACTTGCACACACCTTCACAGCATCTCTCGCACATGCACTAGCCACACACCATGTGCTCTAGTCATGCTCAGCGTGCATTGGCCTCGCACCACACGCACACCCACGCATCACACAGCAGCCTTGGTGCGTGGTGATGCTGGGCTGCAGTGCGTGGCCTAGCACTATGCTGGCGCAAATGCTAGCCAGGCACCCATGCTAGCACTTGGTGCCATCGATGGTGCTGCCATGCCAGGCACGCACGCACGCAGCACCCAGTGCTTGCGATGGTGTGCCTGGTGCCTGCGATTGGCAGCGATGGTGCCCAGCCTCATGCTATGGCTGTGATAGTTGCAATGGGTTGCTAGGAGCGCCTGGTGCGCCTATTGCTTGCGATAGGCTGCCATGTCGCGCCTAGGCTGCGATGGCGCGCCTAGCACACCTAGTGTGCTTAGGCTTGCGCCTAGCCATGCTAGGTGTATGCTAGCCTAAACTAGCTTAGCATCCACTTGGTTAGACCAGTGTGGTGCTAGGGCTATGTTCATACTTGTCTCTTTGTGATTTTGCGACGCTCGATCTCGACGCCCTAGGCTCGATATCCGACGTCTGTATTCGTAAAATACTGATGACTCATTAAATCCTTTCGGATTAATTCGTCGTCTCGGATTGGTGATTCGATTGGGTTCGACTCGAAGGGTTTAGTTATGATTAAGCTGTAATATCAATTGTACCTCGATATTACTGATCGGAAGCGGCCTCCACCTAGGCATTCCAATCACTTGACCTTACTGAAGAATTAGCTCCGTAATAATTCTGAACCCTCTATCGGAAGATTATACTTGTTGGAAGGACACCATTCCTTTCAAGAGGTACCCGTTCATAAGAAGGTTTTAAACCTACTTTCAATCTCACTTAAGATTTTCTTTGGGAGCACGAAGATTTGAGCCCAATAGGTTTGAATTCCAAACAGAATATTGTTAATGAGTTGCAATCTACCAGCATACGACAAAAATCTAGTGACCCATCCTTCAATTCTACTAATGATCCTTTGAATAAGAGGCCTACATTGTTGAATAGTGAGCTTCTTAGATGATAAAGGAACATCCAAATACTTGAAGGGGAGAGAGCCAAAGGACATCCCAAGAGTCCTAAGAAGAGTACTTTGATCAATATCTTGAATCCCTCCAAAATAGAGTTCACTCTTGTTAAGATTAGCCTCTAATCCAGAAGCCATGGAAAACTTGTTAAAGACATTAAATAGAAGCCTCACTGAAGCCTCATCAGCTCTTGAAAACATGAGTAAATCATCAGCAAACATGAGATGAGTCAGGGAGAGCCTCTCACACCTTAGATGGAAGTTAAAATCAGGCATAGAATTCAACACAAGTAAGCACCTGGACAAGTATTCCATTCTAAAAGCAAAGAGAAAGGGAGACATAGGGTCACCTTGTCTAAGCCCTTTCTTAGCTTTAAAAGGAGGAGTGGGAGTACCATTAATAAGAATAGAGAAAGAAACATAAGTAATACACCCCATAATCCACCCAACAAACACACTTGGGAACCCAAGTTCATCTAAAATAGCCTTTATGAATCCCCATTCAATAGAATCATAAGCTTTCTTAAGATCCACCTTAATCATGCATCTTAGAGAAATGAACTTATGACTATAACCTTTAATCAACTCAGTGGCAAGCAGAATATTGTCTCCAATGTGTTTTCTAGGTATGAAACCAGCTTGAGCTTCATCAACAACCTCTCCAACAACTCTAGCAAGCCTAGCTGTCAGAATTTTGGAGACTATCTTATAAAGTACACTGCAACAGGAAATAAGCCTAAAGTCTCTCACATAAGAAGGATTTCGAACTTTAGGGATCAAGGTGAGAGTAGTACGATTCCAACGAGAATCCATGACCCCAGTTCTGAAAAAATCAGAAACAGCTTCATAGATATTAAACTTGACAAAATCCCAAGTGCACTTGAAGAACTTAGTATTGAAACCATCAATTCTAGGGGCTTTGTCATTATCAATGCCTTTCATAGCATTGTCAATTTCTTCATTGGTGATAGGAGCAGCTAACAGAGACACATCAGCAGGGGATAAATGCATACCAGCTCTCATAGTAACCAAGTCAACTGCACAGAAGGAAGGTGAGGCAGTTCCCATCAATTGCTTTTAAAAAGAGATAATTTCTCTCTCAATATCATCAGGATTCTTAAGCAGGACATTCTGCTCAGTCATAATTGAGTCAATTCTGTTTCTCGACTGCCTGTGTTTCATCATAGAAAAAAGAACTTGGAGTTAGAGTCACCAAGGGCCACCCAATCAATTCTTGATTTCTGTTTGTAAATACTTTCCTGAACAACTCTCCAATATTTAAGCTTGTCAATAGCACCAGTTTCCTGATCCAGCATATCATTACAGTTAGGATTATGAGCCAACTGGTTCTGAATATCAAGCGAAGTAACTTGACATTCACTCAATCTCTGATCCACATTGCTAAAAGAGCTACGGTTAAGGCCTTTAAGATGGACCTTGAGATACTTAAGCTTACTCCAAACCCTGTACATAGGGGTACCACGAAATCCTTTGTTCCACACCTCTTGAACAATACCATTGAAATCCGGGTGAGAATTGAGGCAATTAAGGAACCTAAAGGGCCTTCCTTTTCCAGGCGGGGTAGGAAGAACCTCATATAGGAGGGGAGAGTGATAAGAAAGAGAAGGAGCCAAGTAATGGGCTTCCACATTTGGATACCAAGAGAGCCACTCAAAATTCACCAAGCCCCTGTCAATTCTAGTGAGGGTTCTAGGCCCTGTGTGAGCCTTATTAGACCACAAAAAATATGGCCCCTTACTTTTAGTCGCAGCAAATTGCATATAATCAATGAAATCTCTGAAGTCCCTGATCACATAATCAGGGACATCTGTACCATTCATTCTGTCCTCATAGTTTAGAACAGAATTGAAGTCTCCTGTGCAAAACCAAGGCATGGAGATAGAACCAATTTCCTTAATGCCCTCCCATAGACTCTTCCTATCATGAATACAATACAAACCATATAAAAAGGAAAGTGAAACTTGCTTACTATAATCAAGACTACTCACACAACAATGCATCAACTGAGCATGAATAGTGAGAACATCAATGTGTAACCTGTCACTTTTCCAGCCAAGCCAGATTCTACCTTTCCCTGAAGCAATATAATTACAAACCCAGGTCAGGGTAAAACCAATTTTCTTCTGTAAACTCACACAGTTCTGCTTTTTAACCTTGGTTTCTAATAAACAAATCACATCAGTTTTAGTCTTGTTAAGTAGCTGCCTCACATCAGCTACCTTCCAAGGGTCATTTAGACCCCTCACATTCCACACAGTGACAATCATGACTGAGGAGGGGGCCCACCCCTGCTTGGAACAGGATCCTGCAGCTTATTAACAAGTAACACAGAAAATTGATTAATAGTGTGCACCTGTGGTCCAGCAGTATCCTTATATGGCATATTAACTGACCCTTTTTTACTCATAATCTCCCAACCATCATTAGATGAAGGAACCGTACAATTCCCTTCCTTAACCTTCTGTACCCAAGTCTTCTTCAGGGGTTGAATATTGCTTGGAATGACCTGCTTCACTCTAGGTTCAGGGCAGATATGTCCAACTTTATTACATTTCTCACAGAATGGGGGGGACCACTCATACTCAACTGCTAACTCCACCATTTCCCCTTTTAGGCTTTCAACCCAGACAGTTTTAGCTAGAGGCTTAGTAATACAATCTCAACTAGCATCCTAGCAAAAGAGACTCTCAGCTTCCTCGATGTGCATTCATCAGCACAAATTGGGAGTCCCAAAATACTCCCTATCCTACTTAATGTTTTAGAACCCCAACAATTTAAAGGGAGATTAGGCAATTTGACCCATAAAGGTATAGTATGTAATATCTCTGCATTGAAGTCGAATTTCTTAGACCAGGGCTTAACAATAGCAGGCTTTCCTATAAACATATATGGACCTCCATAAAGAAAAGAATTCAAATCATTTTCATTGCACAGATTAATTATGAAGTACCCTTCATCATGCCAAAAAAACATCTAGACTGCTATTAATACCTCACTCATCTACAATAAATCTCTTAATAGAAGCAATTGTAGGGTAATACCCCACCACATACAGAACAATTGCATTCTTCCATTTTTTTGTTCCTTCATCAATTTCACTAGTAGGGAGAATAGCAATGGACTTACCATTCTTGATCAGAGGAGGAACAAAGCTCAACGAAACCCCCTTTGCATTCAATTTCTCGCTGAAAGGTGGCTTCTCAGCCACTCCATTTGAGCTATCATTAGTATCTTCATTAGAGTTAGGTACAGAAGGTCCAAATTGATTTCCAACATCAGGCCTGACAATCGGGCTAGCAAGCTGAGCATTAGGCAATGGAACATTACTCGGGGAGCTAGTTACTGTTTCATTTATTTTGGGGCCAACAAAACCAAAATTTAGTACCAGAAGATGAGCATCCGTTCTAGTAATTTTCCCAGCAGAGGGGTGAACTAAGCCAGGAGCAGGAGTAACCAGCTCATCTCCTTCATCAAAAACTTTATGCAAAGTTTGGAAACCAGCCGAAACCAGAGCAAATAGTGATTCAGCAATTTCTTTGGAGATTTTAGCAGGGGCAGGGGTAGCCTGCTTCTTCTTTCGAGCTATAGTACTTGATTAGTTGAAGGAAACACACAAAAGCAAACCATCATGGAAGAAATCCGAGCTTTATCTCTCTAGGGTTTCACTTTCTCTCTCTAGGGTTTCTTGATTCTTTTAATTCAATTAGCTTTATTTGGATGTGCTTGACTTTAATTTTATTCACTTAGCATTGTGGAATGAATTTGACTTTCATTTGATTCTAAAAGCTTTGTTTGAATGTGTTTAACTTTCATTTAATTTAAATAGCTTTATTTGAATGTATTTGACTTTCATTTGATTCAATTAGCTTTGTTGAATGCATTTGACTTTCATTTGTTTCAAAAAGCTTTGTTTGAATGTGTTTGACTTTCATCTGATTTAATTAGCTTTGTTTGAATGTGTTTGACTTTCATCTGATTCAATTAGCTTGTAGAATGCATTTGACTTTCATTTGATTCAATTAGCTTTGTATGAATGTGTTTTACTTTTATTTGCTTTAATTAGCTTTGTAGAATGCATTTGAATTTCATTTGATTCACTTAGCATTGTGGAATGCATTTGACTTTCATTTGATTAAAAAAGCTTTGTGTGAATGTGTTTGACTTTCATTTGATTCAATTAGCTTTGTTTGAATGTGTTTAACTTTCATTTGTTTTAATTAGCAATGTTTGAATGTGCTTGAATTTAATTTGATTCAATTAGGTTTGTAGAATGCATTTGACTTTCATTTCATTCAAATAGCTTTGTTTGAATGTGTTTGGCTGTCATTTGATTCAATTAGCATTGTTTGAATATGTTTAATTTTCATTTGATTCAGTAAGCTTTGTTGAGTGCATTTGACTTTCACTTTATTCAAATAGCTTCGATTGAATGTGTTTGACTTTCATTTGAGTTAATTAGCAATGTTAGAATGTGGTTGACTTTCATTTGATTCAATTAGCTTTGTTCGAATGTGTTTGACTTTCATTTGATTCAATTAGCTTTGTTTGAATGTGTTTGACTTTTGTTTGATTCAATTAGCTTTGTAGAATGCATTTGACTTTCATTTGTTTCAAATAGCTTTGTTTGAATGTGTTTTACTTTCATTTGATTCAATTAGCTTTGTAGAATGCATTTGACTTTCATTTGTTTCAAATAGCTTTGTTTGAATGTGTTTTACTTTCATTTGATTCAATTAGCTTTGTAGAATGCATTTGAATTTCATTTGATTCACTTAGCATTGTGGAATGCATTTGAATTTCATTTGATTCAAAAAGCTTTATGTGAATGTGTTTGAATTTCATTTCATTCGATCAACTTTGCTTGAATGTGTTTGACTGTCATTTGATTTAATTAGCAATGTTTGAATGTGTTTGAATTTAATTTGATTTAATTAGGTTTGTAGAATGCATTTGTCTTTCATTTGATTCAAATAGCTTTGTTTGAATGTGTTTGACTTTCATTTGATTCTATTAGCATTCTAGAATACATCTAACTTTCATTTGATTGAAAAATGCTTTGTTTGAATGTGTTTGATTTTATTTGATTCAATTAGCTTTGTTCGAATGTGTTTGACTTTCATTTGATTCAAAAAGCGTTGTTTGAAAGTGTTTGACTTTCATTTCATTTTATTAGCGTTGTTTGAATGTGTTTGACTTTGATTTGATTCAATTACCGTTGTTTGAATGTGTTTGACTTTCATTGAATGAGAACAATAACCAAGTTCCTTTGCCAATCAAGAAAATTTGGCCCACTGAACTTCTTTTTTTCGAGAATTGAGCGTAATGAAAATTGGTTCTTTAAGTTATTTGCATACATACAAATTTTCAATGTTATTGAGCGTTTTATCAACGCATTAATATTAATCCCTTTTTGGGCGAGAATAAAACGATTCCAAGATACCAAAAATCAAAAAGTGATTAAGCATGCTTTAGCTTGTCTTAACACTAAATATTTTAGTGTAAGCAATCCAATTGCTAATAGCTCTAAGCTACTCATGGTTTGATAAAATGTCGCATCTAATGCTTGCTTGACGTTTAATCTCCATTGCCACGACATCTAAAGATTCCTTACTGTTATCGCTGAGCCTAACCAAGACAACCTCGTATACCTAGTATACCTTACGTTCCTAGGGAAGTAATGATGCCTCGCTTTGGCGTAGCCCATCACTACGCGCATTATTTTGGTAAGTGTTGTTCTTGGAATGGAAAATATGGCTCAATTTTATAGGGACCTAGGGTTTCTATGTTGGTTGATTTAAGTGAACTTAGTTAACCATCACAACATTTGAAGTCCTAAACATGCATCTAACTCATCATTCATATACATATGAATAATTATATATAGAAAACATAAGTAAAAGATGCATTTGGCAACTAGGATGACCCCTTGTGTCTTTGAATCTTCAAGGGTCTTTGATGCACCCACTTGGCTTGTCTTCTTAGAAACACCGTCTTTGAGACATCTCCACCAAATATGCAACTACTAGCTATAATGATTAGGACTAATCTTAATATTAAGTTACAAAAATACGCAACGGTAAGCAGACCGTATTTAGATTTACAAAAATACATAACGGATCGCAGTCCGTATTTACTATCCTAATCGGGCCCCACTAGTTTCCATTTTCACAAAACCTGTGATACAATATACATTCCATTCACCCATTCACTATTTGTGAATGGCTCATGCATTTTACAACGAAAAACAAGTGATAATGCACAACACGCGCAAACTAGTAACTAACTTAGGTGGTTAATCTGGTTAACGCGCCGAATTAAAACTAGTCAAAGCTGTTAATCATATTATGTGAATAAGACGCAATTAGCTCAAGAAATTAACGAAGCTCCCACTAAATTCGACATATAACTTAATCAATCCAATTAATTAAGCCGGTTAACCCATATTTTGCTAATGCCAGAGGAACCGAGGCCTAGGCTCGTTATAATAATTAAAACGATCCAATTAACGCAAAAAGATAGCCCACCAAATGGCCGAGTGCCTAGCATCCAAGCCATGGGGCTAGGCTAGCTAGGCACCAATGCCTTTGACTATGGGTGCTTAGGGTGCTGGCCTGCCCAGCCAGCAGCGCACCCCAGGCCTGCTGGCACTGGCAGCTTGTGGGGTGGCCTGCTAGCACTGCTGGCTTGCTGCCCCAAGTACTGCACAAAAACCGCAGCTTTTGCACACACCGCAGCACAAAGTGTGCACCACACTTGCACACACCACACACTAGAGTATCATTAAGGCAAGGCAGCCCACACACGCACCTTGGCAGCCACATATGAGCAGCTAGGCCAACCTAATGGTGTGTTTTGGGCGATTTTGCCTGGATTTGCGTGCACTTGTCTCGTGATTTAATCCTGATATATGAGTGATAAAAATTAATTCTAAATTTATTTAAGAACCAATTTAGAGCAAAATGAAAATAAAACAAGTCCAACTTTTAAGACTTTAACCAACTAAAAAATGATTAAATCCAAAACTAGTTTAACATGGAATTTAAAAAGTAAAGTTCCAACCAAATAAACAATTAAAGAATGGATCTTTAGCATTTTTAGGGGACTTCAAAATTACAATTTCATCATAAACATTCACACTTGAAGCAATTGATTTGCAAAAATGATAAATTTCAAGTTTATGTGAAAAATAAGCTGACCAAATTAAGCACCAAATATGACTTCATCAACATGCTTAATAAGGTTTATTATTGCAGTAGATTAATGACGC